TTCAGTATTTTTCCTGCTTTTTTTGAGTCTTTCCAGCAAACGTTGTAGTGACATTGTAGTGACGTTGCAGCGACATGCTGCAAAAGCGGCTGTAGTGACGTTGTTGTGACCATGCTGCAAAAGCGGCTGAAGTGACATTGTAGTGACGTTGTGTGACCATGCTGCAAAAGCGGCTGTAGTGATATTGTATTGACGTTGTAGTGACGTGACGTTGTAGTGACGGCTAGAGTGACATTGTAGTGACGTTGTAGTGACGTTGTCGTGACATAGGACGTTGTAGTGACGTTGTAGTGACGTTGTAGTGACGTTGTAGCGATGTTGGAGTGACATTGACGTTGTAGTGGCGTTGTAGTGACGTTGTTGCAAAAGGGGCTGTAGTGACATTATAGTGCGTTTGAAAAGGCTACCATGAGTGGCCCCTGACTGAAAAAAATCGTGGAGAGCTCCACGCCCCGAGGTCACGGCACCCTGCACATCCAGGGCCCTTGACGACGGCGCCTCCCGAGCCGCCTGTGATGGTGAGCTCCGCTCACCACGACCGGCGGCACGAACCTCGCCAACGCCCGGGCATGGCCTGGGACCTGTTGGTCACGATAAGGAACACGCAGCCGGAGGTGAGCGCCCTGCTGGCGCCCCTGGCCAGCAAGTCCTGGGTCCTGGCCATGCTGGGCAGCTTCTACGATTCAAGCGAAACCGCCATAGCACGACCGCAGAGATGCTGCGATTGCTGCGGCCGTGGGCGGCATCGACCTGAGCGCCTACGGTGGACCGGGCTTCAGGCGCCCATCCTGCACGAGATTGCCATTGCCCTCGTATCGTTCTACACCTCCGCGGAAGTGGACGGGCTGATCGCAGTACGCCGATCTGGGGCCTCGAACTCGATGCCCAGCGTGCCGGCCCCGCAACATCAGGAAGTCGCGCCCAGGATGGGCGTGGCGCTCAGGGGCGTTTGGGGGAGGAGGGCCCTGATCGCGTGTGAATTGCTCAGCACATCGTGTAGATGCCCCACCCTCCACGTTTGCGTTGACTGGGAAGTGCAGTCCAGGGGCGCTAAGTCGCTGTTGGAGAACCGGCCACGGGCTCGTGACGAATGCCATCTCCACACAGGTCCCGGAAATGGAGCTCACCATCACCGGCGGCTCCACCGTTAACAGCAGGGACGTGACGGGGAGGTGCTGAACCTCGCAGCCGCCGACAACGCGCGGCTCCTGGTGGCCTGCAACGCGGGCTCGGGCAGCTCTCCGCCTCCTCCGCCGGCGGCGTGGAGCTCTGCGAACCTCATCGTGGAATCGCGGGGCGGTGGGGCCAACGACGGCGAAGTCACCGTGAATTACGGCTTCCAGAACCTCTCAAACAAGAAGCTGAAGCACAGCGTGGAGCCCGCGGGGCTCGAGGAGCTGCAGCAGGTCTTCGCAGAAGCGCACGCTGGGCTTCATCGCCAACGAGGTGCAGGAGACGGGGCCCGTGGGCCAGGCGCTGCGCGGCAAGCTCGCGAATACAACTGCGTGTGCTGCGTGCTGTGGGGAATACGCCAGGGTTTTCAGGCCCGCGTGGAGGTGCTGGAAGGCGGAAAGGGTGAAGAAAACTAAAAAGAAGGAGCTCGGACCAGCTCAGCTTCGTGTGCGAAGCCACGATGCATCAGCCTTCTGAGCAAAACCTTGCGCAGCTTCTGGACCTGTGGTCGAGCGAATGGAAGCATCGCGGTCGAACAATCCGCCATAGGACCTGGAGCTTATGAAAGATACTGCACTCTGGGCTTGGTCGGTTACGGCGGCATCGTAGGCGTTTCCAAAGCATTCTCGGCGCGGACGGTCTGCCTCGCCATCAACTCTTTCTTGAAAAACCGCTCCCCGACAAAACGTGGACGTCTATCGCACTGCTTCGCAACCCTAACATGGGCCTCCACCGTGATGTCAAAAATCTGCAGGGTCATATGAACCATGCAATCACTCTGGGCACTTTCACAGGAGGTCGCGTGTGGATTGAAGATGCTGCAGGTGAATCGACGGCTTTGTTGACTTGCACGATCGAGCTGTAGCTTCGATGCACGAGAACGCTTTCACAAAGTCGAACCTCATCGAGGAACCATGTGGGCGATCGCTGCCTACACTCCTCAAGCTTTCCTGCGCGCGAACGAAGAACACAACGAGACACTGGGTTTTCCAATTTCTTGTCGAACCTGCACTCAATCCAAGAATAACGTGGACGATCCACAGCGCTGCGATGCTAAACCGGGTCCGGCTGAGCCCCGGGGTCAAACCGAGCGAACCTCGAAATCAAACCCTTGCCACAGCTGCCCTGCCACTGCTGCTCTGCACTGTCACTCCGCCCTTCTGCCCTGCCGCAACTGCCTTTGCGCTGCCACCCACTACTGCTGCACTGCTGCTCTACCGCAAAGAACAGTGGAAACTGCAGTACAATGCAAAAGCAGCACTCGCTGCAGAGACTCGGTGAGAGACTCAGTCTTTATGGAATCTTTTACGGTGAAGACTGCAGTCTTTTTGGAGTTTCTTCGAAGTCTGCCTACTGCTGCAAACTGCTCTTCTACTGCTGCTACTTCTGCTTCCAGCAAAGATTGCAACATTATTAAATCATTGAGTCATTGTTGGCTCATATTTGACTTGTTATTGAAATATAAACGAAATTCTTTTTCGCTCCATTTTGACAACACCTTGCGGTCACAACGCGGTTACAACGCGGTCACAATGACGCGGTCACAACAACGGTCACGTCACAGCGCGATTGCGGTCACAACGCGGTCACAACGCGGTCACAACGCAGTCACAACACCGTCACAACACGGTCACGTCACAGCGCAGTTGCGGTCACAACGCGGTCACAACGCGGTCACAACGCGATTGCGGTCACAACGGAGTGCTGCTGAAAAAGGGGCTGTAGTGACGTTGTAGTGACGTTGTAGTGACGTTGTAGTGACGTTGTAGTGACGTTGTAGTGACGTTGTAGTGACGTTGCAGCACAAAAGGCTGTACCATAAGTGCCCCCTTACTTATACATGTTACTCAGGAAGGTTTTCTGGCAATCTCCAACCTTAAAAGGCTTCATTTTGGCTAAGAAATGTCTGGACACATGCAGCTTCACGAGTTGGGAACATCCTCACATTTAACAGTCATAATGGGTGCCTGTCTGTCAATGATAGGAAATGTGTTTCAAGGTCATCCTTGTGCCAAATTGCACTAGCAATTCGTTGTTTGGACAAGGGGTGATCCTCATCCCTTGCTCTAACATGGATCAGTCTTCCTTGCCCAATCTTATCGCTCCCAGAGTGGCAATTCAAGAAATGTTCTCTAGGGTTCTCGGAAATGTGATTAATGGGCTTGTTGCTCCATCTTGTTTCTGGACTCTGCTGACTGCGGCCCCAGGTTCCCTGGGCTGGTGTTACATCCGCTGTTCTTGCTGTTAAGTCCCCACTGGCTGACCACCATGGGGTGTGCGCTGGCCTTTCCTCTGCTGCGGGCCAGAGTAAGGGTTTGACTGCTGTCTGGTAGTATTCCCCTTGGAATCGGCAGCTGTTACTCGCAGGCTTCCTCTCTGGGAAACTAGGAGGGCTTTGCCCTAAACCCTAAAAGTCTGCCGCTCCAGAGATTGCGTCCGCCTCGGCCTCCAATAACAGAGCCGCAAGTTGTGTTGGCTGTTGCTCGGGGTTGCTTCACTGGCTGACCACCATGGGGTGCCCTGGGCTGGTCTTGCATCTGCTGTTCTGGCCAGCACGCGCCCCATGGTGGCTACCTTCCCTTTTCGCGACTGTGTGCCTGGTACCTGCCCGTGTTGGTCGGTAACTTCGCTGTCCTTCTTCGGTTTACTGCTTTCCGTACTGACCTTCGTTGCACCAGTGGCTTCATGATGGTGGTTTTGATGATCTGGCAAACTGTCGCATTTTGCGACTCCCCCGCATGCTCTGCGCTGCTTGATTACACCTGGATTTCTGCGACGACTTCGAGTATTGAGCGCGGGGGACACCTAGACGTTTGGCGTTTTGGTTTTGGCGGGTTGCTGCGGGTTTTTGTGGTTTTTGGTGTGTGCTTGCTTTGGTTTTCGCGCCTTACTGCGCTGCTGATGTAGTAAAGAGGCGACGGTTCAAAAAAAAGCGCCAAACAAGGAAGACCGGCTGTGTGGGTTTGGGTTTGTTTCGGCAGAGTTGCTTGTCCCAGGTCAAGGCCGGTTGATAGCTTGAGAGGTTGCTGCCTTTGTGTTTCGCTTTGTTGTTGATCGCCGAAAGGGTCAGGACTTCAGCTGCCAGGCGCCGTCTTTATTAGACGCGGCCTCTGAAGCGGCAGGTTGCACCGCCTTTATAAGACGCGGCCTCTGGAGCGGCGGGTGCTTGGGCAGTCTTGGGGATGTGCTTGTGCTTGCGGACTAGATCTCAAGACTCCAAGTCTGGTTGGTTGCTCCGGGCACGTCTTTATTACACGCGGCTTTTGGAGCGGCCGGCTTCAGTAACACGAAGGCTTCTGGCTTAAGGTGAAGGGCTCCGCCCGTTGCCGCTCCAGGCGCGCGCGCTTCGCGCGCGCGCGCCTTCTTCTTTTTCTTTAAAAAAATTTCGCCGCTCCAGACGCCGCGCCTGGCGACTTTTGCATCTGTTGCTTGTGGAACGATTGCGAGGAAGGATTCTTGTTCAGCTGTCCGAGCTTCAGCATGTCGTGATTTCTGAATGTGGGACTGGCTCTGTGTGGCGCGGCTCCGTACAGCGTAGGCCTAAGCACTGAGGTTTCTTCCGGGCTAAGGGTGTCCCCAACAAGCAGTGAGCGCTTGCAGTCAGAGGGGTGGAACTTGCGAGGTCCGAGGCCAGAAGCTCGATGCAGGACACTCTTTGTTCTCAAGAATTGGCAAGCCCGTAGTCCTGAGGCACAGGTGCGTGCAGCACCACACTTCGCATTCTTCTCAGGAGCATCCGCAAAAATTCTGGATGTAAGGGTTACACTGAATTCTTGTGACGTCGCTTCTTCACGCTTAAAGCAGTTTCGATATCAACAGCTGCTGCCATGGACTACATCACCGAGCCTGTGTGGTCCTCGAAGCCTTTCTCCAAGCGAATGCCCACTCACCCTGAGATGCTGAGGTTCAAGCGCCCACCACCACCTTGCTGCAAATGCCTTCATAAGGACCCATTCCCCGACCCTTTCTGCCGCGGCATACCTCACGACTCCGTGCCACTTCCCGAGGAAGAGGCGCAGGAGCTGTTGAGGAACTTGGAAGGCAGCTGGAAGATAGTTCCCCCGGAGGGATCGTCCCATGACATCATGTACACGACCGTGCATGTGCAAGATGACCGTTACACCTTGTCCGGTGGCACTCGTCTTACATTTGGGGGTGAGCAACCCAACCCGCCGTGCACGGAGCACTTCCATTTTTACCGTGGGCCGGAGAAAGAGATCTACTTGGATTACATCGGCACGGTGTTCACGAAGACAGATTTCCAAAATGGCAGGGTGGAGTTTAACAACGGTCTGAACATCCCCGTGGTGTGGCAACGAGGGGAGAACAACTCCTCTTCACCACAACAGCAGAACATGCCTTCAGATATCGTGATGGTAACCGCTGACAAAGTCACAGCAGTGCCAGGTGTAGTTCAGGCGACTGTAGTCGTAGTTTCTTGAAACAGCATGTATCGAGCATTTTCCCAGGGAGCTCGTGTCCTCTTTGCTGAAATCCGATCTGCTCAGAGAGCGATTGGTTATGGCACACCCCTGAAGCTTTCTGAAGCTTGCTGGGTGGCCGTAAAAGCTTGGCGTGGCTGCGACTGCAGTTGCATGTTACGGCTTCGGATGTCGCGCTTTCGATTTTCTGGGCTTAGTGTTGAATCCGTGGGGTCTTGAGGAGGAAAATCTGTAAATGTGTTGTACTTCGAGATCCTTGAAATCCTTGACCCCAACCCAGATAACCCTGCCAAAAGTGATGCCCTTCTTGCTCTTATGGCTGAGTGAAAGTGTAGGTGTTGAAGAATGGTAGGCTGAAGCGCTTCGGGCTTCCGGATGCAGGGCTCCCAGGGTCAACTCGGCTATGCGTGTAAACAATCCTTGCTTCCTTGCTCCCTTGCTCCCTTGCTCCCTTGCTCCCTTGCTCCCTTGCTTCCTGCCTTCCTTCCTCCTTCCTTCCTTCCTTCCTTCCTTCCTGCCGTCCATCCTTCCGTACGAAAACAACAAAAAACCAAAAAGAACCCCAAATAAACAACAAAATCCTGACAACAGTGCAATTCCCCACATATATGTATACATATATATTACACACAGTATATACATACGCCGGGCTTGCAGGAGTACCAAGCATATGATCCTAACTTTCGAGTTCATTTGGTCTGCAAGGTTTTGCTCAGGTCACAATGCCCGAGCTGCGACATGCGGCGTCTTTCAATAGAGAGAAAAGCTTCACTGGCTTACCAACGTGTTGCCTCGAAGGATCTGAACAAGTTGCTTGAATCAAGTATCTCATCTACTCAGATATGGTCTTAGTAATATATCTTCATTCTTGTATGATTATGTTGGGTTCAAGGGGGGGTGTCCAGGAAATGGGTTTGCAAGCCTTTTCCTGTTTGGCGTGGTTTTTGTGGGAGGGGATCGGATTGCAGCTCTTCCAAACGGTTCGGGCAGGTGCCACAAAAAGGTAAAGGGAAGGTTTAAAGCCATCTTGAGTGCAGATCCGAATCAATTCCCATCAACTTCAGAGCTTTGCAGCAGCTGAGGCGAGTTCTGCCGAGTTTGGCTCAATCCGTGTTTCATTCAGCCCCGACTCCGCGACATCAGTTGCGTCAATTGATGGCCACAACCGTCACCCCCGCGCAGAATGCTCCGTATGCGACAGCTGCGCAGAATCCGCCAGGGCCACCGCAACGCTTCCCAGGGCGCTGCTTCTTGGTCATGGGCCCTCCGGCGTCAGGCAAGGGCACGCAGTGTAAGCTCCTGGCCGCAAGGTATGGCCTTGTGCACCTCTCTACAGGGGATGTGTTCCGAGACTTGGTAGAGCGGCGCACCGAGCTGGGCTTTCGGGCCAAGGACTACCTTGACAAGGGCTGCTTCGTGCCTGACGACATGGTGGTCAGCCTGGTGCAAGATCGCCTGCAGCAGCCGGATGTGCGGGAACGTGGCTGCCTTTTGGATGGCTTCCCACGCACGACGGATCAGGCGCAGGCGCTGCTCAAGCAGGTCAGAGTCGAGGGCGTGTTTTTTCTACAGGTGCCTGAGAAGAGCCTTATTCAGAGGGCCGCGCAGCGGCGAATCGATCCACGGACGGGGGAGATCTACCACTTGGAGTTTGTCCCGCCGCCTTCGGACGTCCTGCCGCATCTGGTCCCTCGCGACCGCGACGATGAGCACTCCTTCCGGCAGCGCATCGAGGACAGCACAGCAGTGACAACAGCAGTGATAACAGCAGTGATAACAGGGCTGCAGTTTTCATGTGTTTCTCTGGGCACGTGAAGAGAAGGGCCCGGACCCCCCAAAGCCCAAAGCAAGATCAACCACGAAGAAGAAAGCCGCCGCAGAGGTCTTCAAGGCGCACGTCCGGCGGGTGCTGCCCTTCTTCTCTGGCCGCGTTTCAGGCTCAGTCCTGCCCTTGTTGAATGCCACCGCTCCCTCTTGGGGGGCATTCGGCTTCGGCACATGCGCCTTAACAATAGCTGAGGTCTGGAAGCTCGACGCCGCGCTCGAGCCCCAGGTCATCTTCCAGAAGATCTGTCGCGCCTTGGACCATCTCGAAGCCCCTGAGCAAGAGACGGCCGAAGTGCCCCATTCCCAGCATTCCCAGCATTCCTGCTCGATCTGCTTCGATGAGCCGGCAGACTTCCTTGTGAGCCCCTGTGGGCACCAGTGTGGCTGCCGGGAGTGCCTCGTGGCTGTTCAGCAGCATTCCGGCTGCTGTCCCATCTGCCGTGGTCCGGTGCGGGAGATCCAGCAGGTCTTTCGTTGCGGCAGGGAGGTGTCGTCTGTGTCGGCGTCGGATGCAGTGAAGAGAAGCTTAGAGCCAGTGGCCCAGGCCATGCATCCCGACCTTCTAGAGAAGCTCGATGGCACTGTGAACGGAGCTGCAGAGGACGACGACTGGTCCGAAGATGAGCCGGCTGGTGACCAGGACCTGGTGAAATTGAAGATCGAGCCGTGCAAAGACCAAACCTGTGCGGGCGAGGCGAAGGTCATGATCAGTGCTGATGTTGCCGACCTCATGAAGCGGGAGCCGGCAGATGTCGCTGCCTTGTGCATTTGTCCAGTACTCACATGCTGTCGCAACCGTAGCACACGCAGATGCTTTGTTTCCAATGTTGGGTTGAAAGTTTTTTTGGGCACCTCGTTCTCTTCTACCTGGGTCAGTGGGGGGGGGGGGCCCGTTCACAATGTAACATGGAGCACCTCCTGGCCCAGGGGTTACTAGGACCTGACAAAGTGCACATCCAGAAGAAGGGATGTCATAAGCCGCTGCTCTCAGGGCATACCCACCCCCTACCAAGGTCTGCTGCCTGGTCGACGTCTCTGGTTCCATGGGGAGCATGGCAACGTACGAAGATGCAGATGGCAATGTCAAGGATGATGGTCTGTCGGTGCTTGACATCGTGAAGCATGCTGTGAAGACGGTGATCAAGGCGCTGGGGCCCCAAGATCGCCTGGCTCTCGTGGCCTTCGACGACAAGCAGCGAACGGCCCTGGCCCTCACGGACATGTGCGACCGTGGCCAGGAGCTGGCGTTGGAGGCCCTTGATGGCTTGCGACCGGGGGGCCAAACGAACATCTGGGGAGGCATGAAGGCTGCCATGGATGCTCTTCGCGAGGGGGCCGCCAGCTCAAAGCGACATCAGGCCATCCTCCTCCTGACCGATGGCCAGCCCAACATCAAGCCACCACGAGGACACTTGCGGGAGTTGGCCGATTACAAGGACACGCATCCAGGCTTCCATTTCCAGCTGAACACCTTCGGCTTTGGCTACAGTCTGGACAGCGAGCTCCTTCTTGAGCTGGCGGAAGAAGGTCATGGCACCTACGCCTTCATCCCGGATGCGGTCATCGTTGGGACGACCTTCGTGAACAGCGTGGCCAACGTCCTCAGCACCTTCTCTCAGAGCGTCACCCTCAGCCTCATGCCGATGAATGGAGCGCAGCTCGCTGGGCCTGTCATGGGCTGCTTCAAGGAGAACGACGAGAGTTGGGGTCGTGCTGTCCACCTGGGGCCCTTGCAATATGGCCAAAGCCGCGACGTCGTGGTAGGGCTGCTGCTGCCCCAGCCCGAAGGCCAGCCCGAAGAAGGCCAGGTGTACCTGGAGGCCGTGCTCAGCATTCCCACCTTGTCAGGTCTTGAAGAGGTCAGTGGCAAGGCCTTGACATCCTTGACGTTGAAAGCCAACGTTGAGGCTGTGGTGGCCGAAGCCCGGGCCGATGCCGTCAGCACAGGCCACATCGCCATTGCTTCGGCAATGGGCAACGAGGGCAAAGCCGCGGGCGAGCAAGTGGCAGCGCTCAGCAGCCGGTTGGCGGAGGCCGAGAAGGAGAGCCAAAGGCTTTCCGGTTCAGGTTCTCCCTCAGACTCTCCTGATGGCCGACTGCTGGCCCTGCGGAGCGATGTTGATGGTCGCATGTCGAAGGCCCTCAAAGGAAAGCAGCGCTTCAACCGTTGGGGCAAGCACTACCTCCGTGCCCTCACACGCTCGCACCAGCTGCAGATGTGCACCAACTTCATGGATCCGGGTCTGCAGGTGTATGGCGGAGCCATGTTCCGGTCCTTGAGGGACGTGGGCGATCGGATCTTCCTCGAGCTCCCGCCGCCCAAGCGGCAGGAAGCTCCTCGAGCTCGCACCAGCTGCTCGCAGGCTACGCCGGCACCTGCGTCTCCGAACATGACCACCTACTACGCCGGTGCCGGCGGCGGCTGCTTCGACCCCTCCAGCACGGTGCAGGTCCTGCGTTCTGCCGCGGAAGGCTTGGCAGAGGTGTCTGTGCAGCTGCGCGACCTGCGTGCTGGGGAGGAGGTGCGAGTGGCCGACGGCTTTGCGACCGTGCGCTGCGTGGTCAAAATCGATCGGCCTTGCGGCAAGCCCTTGGTGGTCATGCCGGACGGGTTGAAGCTCACGCCGAGACATCCGGTGCGGGTGGGCAGCGAGTGGCTACCGGCCTTCCGCCTGCCTGGCTCCACGCTCTTGCCCAGCTTCGCCGGCTGCGTCTACAACGTCCTGCTGGATCGTTGCCACATCCTGCTCGTGGGCGGTGTCCAGTGCATCACCTGGGGCCACGGCTTCGATGGGCCACTTCACCACAACTTCTTCGGGAAGGACCTGAACCCTTCTACTAAACTAGTCATTTGTCTTCCTAGTCATCCCGGAATCCCAAACTAGCAGCTTCCGGGAGGAAGTGGTGAACGCGCTTTCGGCTTCACACGGCTGGAAAGATGGACATGTTCATGTCGCAGGTCGTCTACGCGACGCGGCCGGCAATGTGGTGGGATTCGACTTCGCGGAGGATGCGCAGGAAGCGGAGTCCGAGTTCCAGAGTTCTGAGTGGATGCCCTCTCGTCTTGCCAAGCAGCAAGAGGTCACCTGGGTAGTTTGACCCTATCATGTGGAGTTTCAACTTATTTCAAATTTCAAGGTTGTCGCAGCCTCATGTTTGTGTGACCGGTCTGAACCGGAAGCAACATGGTTACAGTGAGTTGCGCCTGCCCATCCAGAAGCAACCACTAGGAGTTTGGCCGGTTATGCCGGGTTCAGTGTTTAACTGTTTGCTTTTCTATGCTTCCTGTGCCAGAAGCGTTACACGGGATGCTAACTTTCGGTCCGCATGCGTGCCCGAGACAGGTTAGAACAGTACAGTGTTCGTTTGACCGGCGTCGGAAAAACTGTCAGAACTTCGCTGCTCTTCCCCTTTGCCGTCTTGCTGGCTGCAGCTTCCATTGCAAGGCATGTGGATGCTCAGATGCCCCGTTGGCGTGCTACTTTAGAGATGAAAGCTACGTCGCACTATACTTCTCGCCATAAATTTCAGTCCGCGGGCATTTGCATGTTCTGCGGACCCCCACGGTGCATACCTTCCCCAAACCCCGCTGAGCCTACAGCTCCAACTATCTAAATTTGAAGAGTTGTGAAAGAAACGTGCCAATGGCTTCCGAAGCAGTTGCCTTTGAACTTGCCGACTGCACTGTTGTCTTGACCATGCTGCGCGTGTTATCGTTTCCAAAACCTACACAACCTCTTTCGCTAGGCTTGGGAAGCAGCATTGGATGCCAAACTATGAACATGGCTGCTGCATCAAGATTTTTCGGATCAAAGAGGTGCCAACCCAGTGGCAGCTTTTCAGGGCAGAAGGACCCAGAATCGAGATCAGCCCCCTCAGGATTTATTGAAGGCGACCATGGTTCCCCCCCTGAGAGGGGACATTGCACATCGTCGCCCAAATCTGCCACTGCCAGATGAGTTTTTGGTTTCGGGTTTAGGGTTTAGAGGTGTCAGAGATTGCAGTAGCACTGAGGACATTTGCCAATGTGTGTACTCATGCAAGATCCATTATCGCCACTCGTGCTGCGAATCCTTTAGACTGCCTCGTCTGTTGGGCCCCTTGTTTGAAGAAGGTGCTTCATGGCATGGAATACCTGCGTTCGACGCTGCCTAAGCAGCTGCCTGCAGCTGCATGCTCAAGCTGCTCTGCGTTTAGTTTGCGTTCTCGAGAACGACTAGCGCACGCATAGGTATCAGGGATCTTTGCTCTCAGCTCGGTTACAGTTCCCACATCTTCCTCCATGGAGAGTTGACTGCGTGTGCTCTGCCTTCTCCTGTTGTTGCCCGGTTCATTGCGATCGGTGGCATGCCGCTGGGGGCAGGAGCTGCCTTATTCGCGTGCTGTAGCACCTTGCAAGATGCCACTACCCTAAACCCTAAACCCTAAACCCTAAACCCTAAACCCTAAACCCTAAGCCCTAAACCCTGAACCCTGAACCCTGAACCCTGAACCCTGGAAGTCAGGACATCCCCGTGCCCAGGCTGCCCAAGAAGGCTGCACATGTTGCCGGAGTCGCGTGGTGTAGCGTGCTTTTCGTGGGACAGCAGCCCATGGCAGGGTGGCTTGGCTGCTGGGGCAACCTGTGCAGGTGTCTTGGCAGCTGTACATGTATGATATTGGGGCATTTTGGGTTTAGGGTTTAGGGTTTAGGGTTTAGGGCTTAGGGTTTGCAGTTGCTATGATCTTGCCAAGCCCGGCAGGCCATTTGGGGCCCTATTCCAGCACAGCCAAGAAGGCTGTGCAGAGTGGAAGGGGCAGGTACAGGACGGCCTTTGAGGGCTCTATGGGGCAACTTCGGAGACTCCAGTGGTCTGGCCTTCTTTCCTAGGTAGGATAAGGGGGGACCCTTAAAAGGGAACCCCTTCTTGACCCTCTTCTGGCTCTCTCTTAAAACAGGGACCTTATTCAGAGGCTCTCTATCCCCAAGGGTCCCCCTAATCCTATCCCCTATTCTTAAGGCGTTTCAGACGGCAGTCGTCAGAATCTTGCAGGACAAGATGGGAGGGCTGCCCAGCGGAAGGCCGTCCGGAGAACATAAGTGCAGCTGGGTGAATCGAACCCCAGATGTCACAACAGGTCTTTGGAAGGAGCTGAGCATTACGAGACGATGTTGTCTGGTTGCTCAGAGGCGTGGCAGTGCAGCATTTTGCATGTTTTTTTTTGAGCCTTGATCCTCAAGTCTCGGCCCAGGGGGCGGCGGCGAGCCCCGATGATGAAGTGGAGCTCTGGATGCTGGGGTTCCTTCAGCCTCTTGCATGCAATTTGTGTGGGCAGACCACTTATGAGGGTGGACAGTTGGTGCAGTAGCCTTCTCAACCTCAGGCCTGCTTCCTCAAGCCTGGAAAGTGGCCGCGCCCTCTTGCCCCGATCCTGGGCAGATGCCTCATTGTCTCCATGACAGCCCACGGAGGCAGCAGGTACATCGCCCTGAAAGGTGCCCCCCAATCATGAGATGAGTGCTAAGCGGAACTATTGAGGAAAGGCAGACCTAGAAGATTTGGAGGTCCTGTGTAGGAACACAGGATGTGATCCTTCGAGGGGGCCCCAAGATGAACAGCTCCAGTCTCCCTGCGAATCGTATAGTCAGCCACAGTCAGCCGTATTCACAGACCCGAAACCCGAAACCCTAAACCCGTCAGTCTTAAGCAGCAGCCAAGTTGCAACCCCTGCACTTTTTTTTTTTCCTCTCCGAGGGTGGTGTGAACTTTGCAGGCGCAATGCTCTCATTCCCAGGACTGTGGCTGGGACGCGGACTCTGTGGCAAACGACCCGGGGCCGACTCCTTGGATTGGAAATTCCCTGACTCGGTAGGGTTTTGGGACATGAGATATGTTCCCTCAAATGGGCTTAAGAGGAGCATGTTTGGGAATATTTTTTCAGAGGGCTTTAAGGGCCATCCTCGTTGAACATCAGAAAGACTCCCCTAAACCCTAAACCCTAGATCCTAAACCCTAAACCCCAAACCCTAAACCCTAAACCCTAAACCCTAAACCCTAAGCCCTAAACCCCTAAACCCTAAACCCTAAACCCTAAACCCTAAACCCTAAGTCTCGAGAATCAAGCCGAGGCTCAAGGAGGCCGAGGGGTTCTCTCTGGACAGGCCCGAGGCTGACGCGCGGGGCCCTGCTGGATGTCGTGGTCTATGAAGCTATGAACCCGAAACCCACCCGAAACCTTAAACCCCAAACCCTAAACCCTAAACTCAAAACCCAAATTGGCCCCCGATGTTTTCTCAGCACTTCGGGCCTGCCCAATGCGTGGCCTTGTAAGGCTTGTGCCTCTTCGACGAGGGAGGCTCGGGCTGCTGGTTTCGGGTTTCGGGGTTAGAGTTCAAGGACTGATCCAAGCAAGCGATCAAGCAGTATAGTACTCTTGTCCCGAAACAGCGGGCAGAGCCCGCGCTTGTGTTCGTGCGCAGTTTTCTACCTTTTTGCGCCAAGAACATCTTGGCAGAGTGCTCGGAAAGGCTGTGGACATTTCATCACATTCGGTCACTGGGCTTCCGATTGCAAAGCCACTTGGATCCAAACACTAAATATTAGTATATTTTTCATATTATTAGTATTGTTAATTTTCTAATCATGAACATTTTTAATTCTTTTAATATTAGTAACTGAGCGGGACGGGTCACTGGGTCCCTAGCAGAAGACCAGAGGCCATGGGAGCTTTCCATTGATTCGGCGCCGCCCCCGGTTGCCAAAGGCTGGGCATCTGCGGCATTGGGTTCTCTCGCAACTGAGGTGCGGGGTTGGCTTCATGATGCGCTCTACTTCTGCCAGTGCGACTGTCAGGCAAAGGCATGCCTCCTAGAGAGGCCCCTCTTCCGATGTGGCCCCCCAAAGCTGCGTAGATCCTGGAAGGCTTTCGACGAAGAGGCGGTTGCGAGATTTGCTTTGAGGTCTTACTCTAAGGTTTCTGTTGTCTGAAACCAAATGCATCCTTCAGGATGACGAAGTGACAGTTTGCGGGCTGGAGGTTCCGATCCCCAGTTTCGAGGCCTGCGGGGGTGATGTGACGCTGCACGATGCTGCACGTGTGTTTCACAACCTTCGCTGCACTCTGAACGTCCCTTAGGTCCGGGCCGGACCGACAGGTCGCAAAGATGTCTGCCGAATAAGGGTCCAAAAAAAACAAGGGTATGGAAACCATTGCAGGTTCAGGAGAAATAGTGCCTAGTGCGGACGGTAAACAGACTTTGCACGCACTGCGTTCGGGTACCGCGGGTACGTGCGAGGGGCTGTTGAATGAGTTCGCGAGTCCCGCTGTGTCTCTGCGGGCTGGGAGGGCAGCCATGTGGGCGGGAGGGCCTCCAAACTGCCTGCAAAATGCCTCCGCAATACCCGGGGCCGAAAGATCTGGGGATTTCCACCTTGCCCGCGGAGCCTCAGAGCCTTTGTGCAAAATGCCCCAACTGCCTTTGCGCGTGAGCCTCCATGGCATCTACACGCCCCCTGTAGAATGCTTGCAAGATGCCTCTACAGCACGCCCCGGTGCCCAGAATTGCGCGCGGTCGCCTTCAAAATGCATCCAAGATGCCTTTAAGTTAAGAGAACCCAACCGCCAAGGCCCCCAGAATTGCGTGGGAAACCCTAAACCCCTAAGCCCCTAAACCCCTAAACCCCTAAACCCCTAAACCCCTAAACCCCCAAACCCCTAAACCCCTAAACCCCTAAACCCCTAAACCCCGAAACCAGTAAACCCCTAAACCCCTAAACCCCTAAACCCCTAAACCCCGAAACCCCTAAACCCCTAAACCCCTAAACCCCTAAACCCCTAAAGCCCTAAACCCCTAAACCCCTAAACCCCTAAACCCCAAACCCTAAACCCTAAACCTCCAAAACCCCTCCGAGATGGGACCTGCCGTAAAGAGTGGTGGGTTTTTGGAACTCTACGACATGGCAAGTTAATTCCGGGGCGCGGGCACTTCTGGAAGAAAAAAGAGTGGCGCCTTTTTTTTTTTTCCCTATGAGGCCCTATACGACATGGCAAGATAGATATCCGGCGTGAGCGCTTTTGGAAGGAAAAGCTGCCACAACAAAGTGGCGCTGTGTTTCCCTTGTAGGACATGGCTACAGAATTTTTGCGGTGCGGGCACTTCTGGAAAGGGGAAGCTGCCGTAACAAAGTGGGCCGTTTTCGTTTCCCTACACGACGTGGCAAGATTTCCGGTGCGGAAGGAAAAAGCGCCGTACCAAGGTGCCTTTAGTTTTTACCTGCACGCATGGCAAGAAGCCTGCCGTAACGAAGTGGCGCTGTTGTTTCCCTACACGACATGGCAAGAAAAAGTTCTGCGCGAGCACTTCTGGAAGGAAAAGCGGCCGCAACGAACTGGCGCTTTTGTTTCCATTTTCGACATGGCAAGATAAATTTCCGGCAAGCACTTCTGGAAGGAAAAGCTGCCGTAGCACCCTGGCTTGTTTTTTCTTCCTAGACGACATGGCAAGATCTGGAAACAGAACCTGCCGTACACATTGCGTTTTTCTTCCCTAATACGACTAGCGAGATAAATTTTCCTGTGCAAGCACTTCTGAAAAGCTGCCGTAACAAAGTGGCGCTTTTGTTTCCCTACACGTCATGGCTAAAATCATTTTCGGCGCGAGCACTTCTGGAAGGAAAACCTGCCGTTGCAAAGTGGCGCTTTTTCATTCAAGCCCATTCTTTGTTCATCCGCTGCAACAACACATCCGCACAGACACACACACACACACAGACACACAGACACACAGACACACACACACACAGAGACACACACAGACACACAGACACACACAGACAGACAGACAGACAGACAGACAGACAGACAGACAGACAGACAGACAGACAGACAGACAGACAGACAGACAGACAGACAGACAGACAGACAGACAGACATACAGACAGACAGACAGACAGACAGACAGACAGACAGACAGACAGACAGACAGACAGACAGACAGACAGACAGAGAGAGACACACACACACACACACACACTCACACACACACACACACACTCACTCACTCACTCACTCACTCACTCACTCACTCACTCACTCACTCACTCACACACACACACAGACACGCACAGACACGCACAGACACGCACAGACACGCACAGACACGCACAGACATGCACAGACACGCACAGACACATGCACATGCACATGCACATGCACATGCACATGCACATGCACATGCACATGCACATGCACATGCACATGCACACACACGCAAGCCTCACAGCTATGTAGCCAAGTTTGCAAGATTCTAGACCGATACGATCGAGGGTATGGTCTATCGAGGGTAGGTGTCTATAGAACACTGATAACAAGGTCTATGTAGGGGGTGGTCCAGGTAGATAGGGTCGAGAGCATGGGGGTCTATGGAAAAAGGGATAGGGCTTATGCATAGGGTTTTGGCAAATTACGGAGGGCCTGCAGCATGGGCGCCGATCAGGGCAACATAGGGGTCTATACTATAGAGGGATCTATCCACGCCTATCATTGGGCGGTGCTCCCCCGAAGCCCACAACCAAACACACAAACTCCACTACAATGTGCGGAAGATTGAAGGCAATCCCTGCACCTCCTGCACCGCGAGCGGAAAAAACAAAGATGCCCGCCCCCCCCCCCCCCCCCCCCCACTGTGCCTGCAACAACAAAACATGGGCCCTCTGCACCCTCTGCAAAAAATCAAAGGACGTGCCTGCCGGCCCCCCCCCCGCCCCCAATGCCGGAAAACAGCAAGGTCGGCACCCAACTGAGCGAGTGAGCCGTCCTTCATAGCCAGACAACAACGCAAGAGCATTGTGTTTTCAACTGGTGCAGGCGCGGGCGCTGCGCCCCCCTAAAACCGTGCGAGCAGGCTTCACAAAAAATCCTTGCACAGGGGGACTGGAGCGAGGTCTAGAAAAGACGGATGTAAAACATCGCGTCCCAGCGCGACGTGACGGTTCTGGATGCAAAAAGAAGGTTTTCCTAAGGAAGAAGAGTTGAAGTTCCCCACCCTCGGTGTGGGGTTGTTAGATTTTAAACTCAACTCTGCTCGGAACTCTTCTCCTCGCCCGGTCTACTCCTCGCTCATCCCTCGAGTGCCCAACCCCAAAGTGTGCCTGGAGTGCCCAAATTTAGAGTGTCCCTGGAGTGTGCCCCTGGACTGCCCAACCCCAGAGTCTCCCTAGAGTGCCCAACCCACAATCTCCCGGAGTGCCCAGCCCCAGAATCTCCCTGGAGTGCCCAACCCCAGAGTCTAGCTAGCCCAACTCCATAGAGTCTCCCTCTGCAGTGCCCAACTCTAGAGTCTCCCTGGAGTGCCCAACCCCAGAGTTTCCCTGGAGTGCCCAACCCCAGAGTGTTGCCCAAATTCAGAGTATCTCTACCAAGAAAGGGTGGGGATGCTCGCGGTGATTTCTTTTTTGGATTCTTCGGTCGAATGCGTCGAACATTTATAAAAAAAGCCTTTATCTATAAACCTCTATCTATTTATCTATCTATCTATCTATACATACATACATATATATATGTATATATATATATATGTATATATATATATATATAACTAAAGTAGCATCAAGAGCAGGAGCTGCGAGTGCCGGATTCAGAGGTGCTCGTACGGCCTGCGGCTCAGAAGTGCTCCCTGCAGTGCCATGTCGCAGGCCTCTGTGGATGGGTGTACCAGTGTACTTAATAGGGTTTAGGGTTTAGGGTTTAGGGTTTAGGGTTTAGGGTTTAGGGTTTAGGATGGCATCTTGCGCAGCTTGCACAACTAGCCCTAAACCCCATACTGTTTTTGTTCGCCGACATTTTGCGTCCTGTCAATGTCCAGGTGGGCAGGCATAGTCTACAAAGGCTCGGACTGCGATCATGCTTTCGCGAGCATGAGAGCCTCCTTGAGCAGCAGTACGGTTAATACATTAATCATTATACAATATAGGACATAACTACATATGCAGCAATAATGTAAAATGGTTTAGGGTTTTAGTGTCTCCGAACATGCTTGTCGGCACATGACGGCGTGTAGTGATGTCACGGCACTGCGCCGCCACTTGTCTCATAATTGAGCCAGCTTGCAGAGGTTCCGTTTAGAATTGCAGCAGACTCCGGCTCTTACTTCCAAAACCCCAAAAAGACAGAGCAGAATAAGATGCAAGCAAGCCGACAGCACATGCATTTCACGACGCTCCGGCGTGCAGTAGGGGACGCTGAGGATGCCCCATCATGCACTGGAGAGTGAAGCTCGTGGCCAGGAATGAGACCGGTTACGTGGGCCTGGTGAACCATGGTACAACGCAGACTTGGCGAGTTTTGGCTTTGGCCTGATGAGGTTATGCCGTTGTGCTCGCACTTCTCCTGCACAGGTGCTACTTGAACAGCTTGCTTCAGCTCCTTTTTCATGTGGGAGAGCTCAGGCAGGGCTCCGAGGAAGCTGAGTTCTGTCTAAGAGTCAAATGATTTTTGCGCTGAGCGGTTAGGCGAAGTGTTTATTCCGTTGAGTGCGAGAAGAAGGCGTTGAGTGTGGCATGACATATGTTGGCGCCTGCAATCTCTCAAAGGCTGCGCTTTCGACCCTTGACTTTTCTTTAGGAGCCTATGGCTCCAGAGAGATTCGGCGGCGCATATGCAGAAGGCCTTCTGCAGATTGGCTCTCCGATGCAGGCGCCTTCGTGAGCTTGCCTCATGTCAGGAAGAGTCTCCATCATCGAGGCGCGGATGCATCGAAGTTCGACGGACTTAGACTAAGAGTTCGTGCTGCCAAGGCGTTGCAGAACGTCTTCTACGGACTGCAGACCTCCGAGAGGGCGGGAGATTGGAAAGAAGGGGTCATCCAAAGTGAAGCGTCCTGCCTTTGCCAGGCCGTGAGCTGCATGGAGCTTATGAAATCTTTCGGTTGGGATGCAAGCGATGCTTTCATCCAGCATGACGTGCAGGACACTTGCAGGACACTTCAGAGGAACATTCAGTAGGCACAGGCCCACCATTGTCTGCAGGAGCTGAACAGGATCTTATGTGATCAGCTCGAGGCCAGTTGCACAGGGGATTGCACATGGGCGAGTGCCCGTGACAGACGCACAGCCCAAGTTTAATGGGGTAGCAGGAGCAGATGAAAAACACAGCAATGGCCGGCTCCATCAAGAGGCTGTGTTCCCAGTGACAGCAACCGATGCTGCGAGCATTTCGGCCCACAACTCTGGGAAAGAGGCTTTTTGAAGGCGAGATGGAGAACAGCATTCAGTGTCTCGACGCTTCCAGCTCAGCCATTGGTTCGTGTGGCAAAGAGTATTCCATGTATTCCCTGCCCGTTAGGGCATGTCATGCAGAGGTCGACTACACCTCCAGGCGGCCCGAAACGTTTGAAGCCTCAGAGTTCTGGTGAGCGGCTGTCGTGTGCGACGTCCCAAAGTCCCGCCACCATCTTGCAACCCAGGTTTTGCGACGTCCAGCTGAGCATCAAGAGCGAGAAGGGCCCCCTCCTCCACACCCTGGAGGAACTGTCGGATACCGTTGATACTAAGAACCTTGATGCGTCAGACTACCGTATATCTCCCAAGGCCTGAGGTATTTGGGTGTTTTTGGTATCAGCCTTCGTGCAAGCATGGCCCGTGGATTCATGAAAGCCTCACGAACTCATTGGTGGCAGCGCCCAGGGTGACGTGCTCAGACTCGTCACTTGAGTGTGAGAGCTGGCGCTCCGTGGACAGAGTCCGGGACTACTGAATGTGAAGGCAAACGGGTATCAGAGGTGGTGTCGGAAGCGACGGCACTCCCTACAAGAGGGCGACGGAGCACAAGAGCCTATCATCGGACCTTGGAGAAGATAACGATCCTTTTGGCTGTGAGGGCGCGTTTCTGAAGGATTGGGCTACTGTACTCTGGCAAGTTTAAGGGTCTTGCCCGAGCTGATCAGTGCGTAAACGATGACCTCAGTATGAGATGAACGCGCGCTAGTGGTCGGAGGGCATGAGGCTCTGCGGGGCTCTGCGGGCCGGCTCTGCCGGCCAAATGTATACAGTGAGCTTGCAGCCGTGGTCGCGAAGATCACAGCGTGCGGATTCAACAGAATGGACAGGATGAAAGAAAGAGAAAGTGGAGCGACAGAGTTTGTCCCGGGTCCTTATTACAAGGGGATCCTACTATTTCGGGGTTTATATTGGGTCCCCTATTCTGGTAAACCCCCATCTCGTTGCAAAAGAGCATGGCGAGCCCCAACGCGACCTCTCGTTCGCGACTAGGGGATTTGCGCCATGGCGCTAGGTTGCCCGACAGCGGCCGGCAGCATCCCGAAACACAGGGGGCCTAGCACTACGGTGTTGCTGCAGTAGCACATGTTGTTTGCACCGCAGTAGCCTTAGCAGAAATCAGCGGTACTAGTTGCACATGTGTGCCTTGCAGGAACATATGACCTTATGTTATCACTGTCAGCGTCAGACCAGCCGGCTCAGCAGCCCAGCTTTGTGTTGTGAGGTTGTGTTGCGGGAGCACGGGAGCAGACACGTTGTGGGGTTGGGGTGGTGTCGTTTCTGTGCTTTGTGCGTAGTCGGTAGATCTTGCCACGAGGCGAGAGTCAAACCAAGAGGGATCTGTTTGCTACCACCGATGCCGTTGACCTGGGTCTCGAGGAGTCCCTCAAAGAGTTCACCGCGGAGGAGATGCTCCACGGCGACAATATGTACCAGGCTCGGGGGACTACCAGCAGCTGGGGCAAATGCTTCTTGCGTTTTGGCTTTTGTTTGCTGCAGAACTGTCAAGCAAGCAGGCGGAGGGTTACGGCAAGCAGCGAGCAAAGAAGGCTGGTATGCGTTGCCGTATGCTTCGTCTTTGACATACTGGGCGGCATAAACTCGAGTGCCTGCTATGGCCCTCGCTGCTCCTGTCTACTGATCCTGGTCAGGGCATCCGGTTTCTGAAGTTCCCCCCGGTCCTCAATTTCCAGCTCAAACGCTTTCACTTTGACCGGGAGAGAGTGGAGATGGCGCGACGCTGCGAATAAGCACAACTCCTCGCCAAAGTCACAACAGAATGTTCGTGAGGTGAAGCTCAACAGCCGCTTCGAGTACCCTCGGCTTTTGGACCTCTCGCCGTTCGCGCCGCGCGCCGGGCCTGAAGCCAAAAGCTCCGCAACGGCTCACCTTCGGGGCCAACACTCCAAAGACCTCCTTAATTTTGTAAGTTTGAGGCGCTATCTGCTGCACTCGGTGGTGGTCCACTGCGGTGACGTCGACGGCGACTGCCCCAAGACAAAGAGCCGCGGCAGTGCAATTGTGAGAAGTCTGCGTGTTGTGGGCAGGCGGACATTATTGCACCTACATTCGGCCATCAGCCCGGCATTGCTTCATTTGCTTCAAGGCTTGAGTCTTAAAGTGTGCAATCAAGCTGCCAAGGCCAAACCTCGACGCGCGCTGCGTCAAGTTCGACGATGACAAGGCAGTTTTGGTCAGCCAGCAACAGAAAGCACTCACAGGCAGCGCAACACCCAGCTTTGCTTAGGTCACATCCTGCCATGACTCGGCTGCAGTGGAGGCGAGCTTCGGAGGCCAGGTTTCTGTAGTTCGTGCTTGTGTCCTTTTTGGTGGGCGGCTCGCGTTCGGCATGGGAGGCGACGATGACGACTTCGACGAATTCAGCTTCAACGCGTGCGCCAGATACACCATCTTAGGTCACACAAGCAAGCCGCCTTGCCGCGTTGAATGGAGAACCAAGACGAGCTTGCTTGCGCCACGTGGCAGGTACATGCTCGTCTACATCCAGGAGCAGTGCGCGGAGAACGTGTTGCGAGTGCCCGACCCAAAGCAGGCCTGCGAACTGTAGTCATGGATGCAGTTGTCGCCCTGTGTGGTGAAACCTGTACTCTTTCGGCAACTCACAGCTAACTCCTTTTGGCAGGTCAACAGCCGGATGGTCGACAGATGTAGCGCCAGAATGGACTGACCGAAAAGTCCAGGGGGGCAAACCAAAAAAGGGGTTACGGCCGCGGCCCCTCCACAAAGCCCTAAAAACCCGTAAAAACCTCCTTACCCATGCCCAGGCCTTCGGCAACACCCCCCTCAGGGATTGCAGTCGTGAGGCGTTTGCTGTGACGAAAATGATTTTACAGGCAATCTGATCAGTCCGGCCATGTAAACGGGAAGCGTAGGTGTTGTCATTCCCGCCGGTTCGCGCGTTCATGAATCTGAGTTTTTCAAATTCCGGTGCAGTCCCTCACTTCATCCGCAAACTCACCCCTCGTCAAGTCAAGTCAAATGCCTGAGCCCGCTGCAGGGTTTAGTGTTCAGGGAAACGCCCCATACGCCCCCGTGTGTTGGGAGGCCCCCACTATGTGAAGAGGGTGAGACGACATAGTATCGCAGGCTCAGGTTGATGCATATCCAGTGCTCGCAAAAGCAGCAGCAGAGTTGAAGCTGAGTTTGCAGCAGCAGCATGACACGGGTGGTTTAGGGTTGAGGGTTCAGGGACTTGAAGAGACTCTCAGATATCCTTCAAGAGCCAAAAGTGTCCAATGGCAGGGTTCCTTAGCCTCCTGAAGCTCTAAAGGCACATTTTGTGAATTTCAAGAGCTTGCCGTTGAGGAAAGGCTGGAGCATGCTCTCTAGATTAGAAGTCTTAGTAGGTTCTTAGTCCTTGCTTTGTGCACCGGGTACTTTGCCAACGCCGCCTCAGCCTTGCGTGGAGGCTGGGACTTTCCTTTGTTTGTTGCCCCTAAACCCTAAACCCTAAACCCTAAACCCTAAACCCTAAACCCTAAACCCTAAACCCTAAACCCTAAACCCTAAACCCTAAACCCTAAACCCTAAGCCCTAAGCCCTAAGCCCTAAACCCTAAACCCTACTACCCTGGCCAATCTCCCGCCTTCTCAGAGATGGTCGAGCTGCATGATTTCCTTCTGGGTTGGGTATTCGGATTGGGGCTCTTGCACATGAGGGGCTTGGGGTTTAGGGCCAGAATGTCTAGGGCACTTGCACGTACTTTTCCCTCAAGCCCGAAACCAAGGCACGTCCCGGAGCTCCGAGCCGGGGAGGTTTAAGGTTTAGGGTTTAGGGTTTAGGGTTTGGCGTTTAGGGTTGAGCACCCACAAGTGCACAGCTCCCGGCCCAAATTCAAATGTATTTGAAGAGGAGTTGCCCTTCCATGTTGTGAGCATGACCATATATTGTTCCAGTTTCACACGCGCACATATATCTATATATTGTATATATACATATATGTATATATGTATAAGTGGTTTTCAGGGCAGGATATATGTACACAATTTCTTGTTCTTATCCTTCTCATTCATTGTTTGCACTCAGCCCCCCATATTCGAACTTCCACGCTCGGAAAGAGTTCTGCGGCCAAGTTCAGTAGGTTTAGGGTTTAGGGTTTGGGGTTTGGGGTGTAGGGTTTAGGGTTTAGGGTTTAGGCCCTGCGCACCAGTCAGGACAACTCTGCCTGTACTTGCTGAGCGTGGCGCTGTGCGGTGTGCAGAGCAGAAAGGCCCGCAGAATGTTTCTAAGCCCAACACGAGGATCTCGGCACGACGAGAGCCAGTGCAAAACGTGCTGGGTTGACCGGCGCTTATCTGGGCAAGCTGTGGGTAAATAGAGACGTGTTCGAAAATCACAGCATCTACTTGCGCATGGCGGTCAAGAAGTGCGAAGCTTGAAAGGTTGAAGGTGCAGTGAATGGTGTGATGATGAGTTGATCTTCAGAATTCCCAGTGTCCTGTCGGCTGATCATGTTTCCAGGCTCAAGGCTTTCTGGAAATCGTAGCCTTGCTCTCATGATGCAGCTGCGAGGCTACCAGCAAAGAATCGTCGATGATGCTCTGACAACTGGGAACACGATTGTTGTCCTTCCGACTGGTGCAGGGAAGACACTGATCGCATCCGAGTTGATGAAGAGACTTGGTCCCGGATGCCTCTTTCTAGTTCCAACCTGCTTGCTGGTCGAGCAGCAAGCAAAGGCTATACGTGAGTGGACGGGCCTGCGGGTTGCCGAGTTTATGGGCGGCGCGTCCATGCCTCAGCAGTTTGATGTGCTAGTCTCAACGCCCAAAGCCTTTCACACAATGCAGGCCAAGGGAGTTCGGAGCTTCCGGTGGGATGCCTTTAAGCTGGTGGTCTTCGATGAAGTTCACCACGTTTTGAAGGAGCACCCTTACCGGCAGCTGGCCCTGTCATTGTCCAGGCTTCCTGCAGGTCCCCCGCAAGTCTTGGGCTTGTCAGCGTCTCTGACATATGCGGTCGGAGAACAAAGGGTTGAGCAGGAGCTGGCGAGGATCTCCAGGGAGCTGCGTATTCAGCACATGGCAACTGCCACTGCCTGGGAGCTTGAGGCAGGTGGCTACCACAGCAAGGCAGGCCAAGCAACTCTGCCAACCTGGAACCTTCCTTGCTCAGTGCCGGAGGGCGTGCTCCCAATCGGGGAGCGCAAGCCACATCTCATGGCAAAGAAATTCTTCGATCGACTCCAAGAGGGAGCGTCGACTCCCTTCACCCAGCGTCTCCTCTCAGTGGTGCGCGCGATGGAGTCAGCTGTGGCATCTGAGGATTCCGGCTTCAAGTCTCCCTTGCAGAACCCTGCCCCGAGGATGTGGGGGGACTATGCGCACAGAAGAGTTGGCCAGTCGGCAAAGTTTGCGTCTCTGGAGCACTGGTACGAGGCTCTGAGAATGCTGGTCACATCATGGGAAGAGGCGGAGGACGCTGCCACAACATACTTGCGCATGGTTGGAGAAGGCCAGTCAAAGCCGTTCACATGGCCATCTGAAGTTGAGGCAGCCAGTGCGCAATTCTGGCACAATTCTGCAGACTCCTTTCCACGCTTGGAGCATTTGAAAGACGCGCTGCTCTATGAATACGAAACGCTGTCAACAACGCACGGCTCATTCAGGTGCATCCTTTTTGTACAGCAGCGAATTATGACCCACATCTTGGAGCATTTCGTCAGAACGGATGAGGCGTTGGCGAACAGGCTCAACCCTGCGTGCATCTACGCAACGGCATCCCCAGCGACACCCTCGTTCCGGGTGTCTGCAGCAGACTCCAAGGCTCGCCTAGCTAGTTTCGCAAAGGGTGGCATCAACTTGCTCATCGCCACCGTGGTTGCTGAAGAGGGCATGGACGTTCCCGCCGCAAACTGCGTGATTCGGTTTGACCCAATGATCAACTCGGTGTCCCTTGTGCAGGGTCGTGGGCGCGCGCGCCAGCCAGATTCCTCCTTCGTGGTGCTTTGCGAGCGGCAAGACCGGCCCACATCGACTTTGGCAGCGGTCGAGGCGCAACAGTTGGAGAGACTCGGACAGACCCACAAGTTTGCATAGGTTTCCAGCGCTGCGAACATATGTAGAACACATGTGTGTTGCTTTTTTCTCCTAGCCACCTGAGGATCATACGCAACTTCAAGCCTGACCACGTGGCCGACGCGACGCAGGACTCCGCAGCCCAGCGTTCTCGTGAGCGAAATGCTCGTGAAGTTCTGTTGGCACCGGGTGCTTCGAATGCAACTGAGGTGTTGAATTTGTACTGCAAGAAGACGAAAGTGCAGCTGCAAGAGGAGTTTGTCCCGACAGGACCCGAAATCGAATGCAGGTTGAAGTACGAATCCATCCTTAGATCAGTTCAGGCCGCAGGGTCCTCGGGCCCGTTTTCCCGTGCGGCGGAGGGCAGAAAGCAAGCCAAGCGCATGGCAGCTGCCGCTCTACTGGCGGCCTTGCAGCAGTGAAGCTAAGGCTGCTGAGAGGGTAAAAAAAAGGCGCTTCGATGCCGCTCTTCACCTTCTCTCGGGCACATCTTTACCTTGCGTTGCCTTGCATCATGGAGTGCAGGGGCAGTTGATCAACGTATTCGGGGCAGTCGTATCTCCCGGAAAATCGGGTACCTCCAGTGTGCCTTCAAGATACCACAACCCTCGTTCTCAGGAACCCCTGAAAAGGGCCCCTTGAAACCCTGAAACGTCACTCAGCCCCAAAGCCCTATGTTGGGAAAACCCTCAACCCTAAGCCCTAAGCCCTAAACATGCGTTTAGCCCCGAAAGCCATAAGGATCCGGTCCGACGACGTGGCGCATTGCTCCAAGAGTTTAGTGTTGAGTCTCTTTACCATGCCACTACACACCGTGTATAAAATGTATGCTCTTTACAGACCACTGCACTTTCGCGAATAACACAGAAGCTCCTTGCAAACCAATACATGTTTGTGACTAAACTATATGATCCTTACAAACCAGTAAACTTTTGTGAACAATATACAGACTCTTTACGAGAGAAACAACTGATTTGCATCGTTAAACGCCTCTTTACCAAACCAATGAAAGCAAGAAAACCAAAACCCTATAAACCCCAAACCCTGAACCCTGAACCCTAAACCCTAAACCCTGAACCCTAAACCCTAAACCCTAAACCCTAAACCCTAAACCCTAAACCCTAAACCCTCAACCCTAAACCCTAAACCCTCAGCTGACAGTCATCAGCGTCCCTTCCTCTTCGAGGTTTTTACATTGCAACGACCTTAGGCTGATTGCAAGTACGGGGATGGGCGAGTTAGACCTTGTAACCCTTAAAAATGTGCTGTTCTAGGGCTGTTTATGGGGGTTACATTCGACCTTATAGCCCGCAACAAAAAGTTCCTTCATTGGGCTGTTCATAGGGGCTAGCTAGACCTCATAACCCTTGAAATCAAGCCGCCTGTATACGGGATGTAGGGCCTAAAAGCCCATCCTAACGCTGTGTTAAGCAGTTTGTGTCTTTTCAGGGGCGCGACAAGAGAATACAAGAAATCTCTGTCTCCGGTCATCATTTGAAAAGGATGGCCACTGGGTCCGTGGATGAGGTTCGAATCAGCAGAACAAGTTGATTTCTTCAGCATTGCACAAGGCATGATGTGACTTGACCATTTCGAATGCCACGGCACGGAGTAGACTTGTACTGGTAGACACATGAAAGAAAGAAATCCATGACACATCCACCTCCATCAAGGGATCTGAGCAGAGCCATGGCGAAGAAGATCTCAGTTCTGCAGCCAAGTGGTGAAGGCATGGATTTTGACTCACATTGGAGATGGCGCCTTTTGTGAGTGCTCGTCTTTGGCGAAGTTGACCATCCCAGAGGCAGTGACCCGCATAGAGGAGAACACCTTTCAGAACTGCCGCTCTTTGCTGAACTTGACCCTCCCATGCTCAGTGACCCGGATCGAGTCTTCTGCCTTTGAGGGCTGCACCTCCTTGGCAAACCTGGTGCTCCCGATAACCGTGACCCACATCAATGATGGCGCCTTTGAGAACTGTAGCTGGCGCTCTTATGAACTGACCCTAAACCCTAAACCCTAAACCCTAAACCCTAAACCCTAAACCCTAAACCCTAAACCCTAAACCCTAAACCCTAAACCCTAAACCCTAAACCCTAAACCCTAAACCCTAAACCCTAAACCCTAAATGGCGCTCTTATGAACTGCAGCTCCTTGGCGAGCTTGACCATCCCCAAGTCGGTGACCCACATTGGGGATTCTGCGTTTCAGAACTGCAGCTCTTTGGCGAACTTGATCATCCCGGACTCCGTGACGCACGTCGGGGAAGCAGCCTTTGAGGGTTGCAAAGACTTAGGGTTTAGGGTTTAGGGTTTAGGGTGTAGGGTGTGTTACGTTCTGGGTTGCTCGCTAGGCTCCGGGGCCTCACCTTATTTTTTTATAACCGGCCCCTCTGCCCGGGTCGCTCGCAACGCCGCGTGGCGGTAAGCCCACCCCAAGCCACCCGGCATATCTATTTTAGGGTTTAGTTCCTAAAGTTTTGTTTTTGCTTTTCCAGCGGGGGCATGCTGTGTCCGTGCGCACGCTGTTTCTGCACCGTCCCGATCTGAGCCTCGCGGGGGCACGGCTGCAAAGAGGTGAAGTTGTGGAAAACGCTGCCCCTAGGCTGTGAAAGGTGAAAGGTCGGGGGGATAGCCCTTCATCATCAAAGTCGGGACGGGCTTGTTTGAAGGCGTTTGGCATCCCTCATCTGCCTTCACGGAAGGCGTCTGTCAAGTATCTCACAGATTGGTTTGGGTTACCGTAGGGGTACCGTTGCCCCCGGGCCAGCGTCGCGACGTGCTTCTTTGAGGGCGTTTGGCATCCCTTGTCTGCGACCCTCGTTTGCCAGCACGGAAACCATCGACACAAAGCAGTTTGGGTTACCGAAGGGGTAGCGCTGCCCCTCGACCGTCCCGACACGACTCTCCCTGGACCTAGTGTGAGAAGGTCGTGGGGGTGGCCCATTGGTTTGGGTTACCGCAGGGGTACCGTTGCCCTTCGACTTCTTTGAAGGCGTTTGGCATCCTTTGCCAGCACGGAAACCATCGACACAAAGCAGTTGGGGTTAGCGCTGCCCCTGAATCGGGCCAGCGTCCCGATACGACTCTCCCTTGACCAAGACTAGGCTGTGAAAAGGTCGTGGGGGTCGACTCTCGCCTCCCATTCCTCCCATGCCTCTGGAGGTTACCGCAAGCCTTTGTGAGGGCCTGCTAGGGCCTCCCAGAACCAGCGATTTCAGTACTAGAGATTCGCATTTTCATTGTGGGTCCAGGCCAATCCTGGGGTCCCCCTCATTGGGGGGCTTGGAGAAGCTTTGTTGTGAACACAAAAGAAATGGAGAGCCCAAAAAGTTCAAAAATCTGGCCTGGGAGAAGCATAGAAAGGCTCAGAAAATAGCCTGGGAGAAGCTCAAAGAAAAAACTAAACCCAGACATGGTTCGGAAGGAGCCCAGAAAAGGCTCAGGAATGGTCTCAGGAGGAGCCCAAAATGGCTCAAAAATGGTCTGGGGAGCCTAAAAGGCTCGAAACGGTCGGGGAGAAGCAAGCCAAGAAATGGTTTGAAAAAGGCTCAGACGGCGATCTGAGCCCGGCAACGGTCCTTGAGGGGGGCCCGGGTTGCACCAGCAAGTCCTTGGTGGGGGCCCAGGTTGCACGAGCAACGGTCCTTGGGGGGGGGCAGGTTGCACCAGCAACGGTCCTTGGGGGGGGG